CGGGGCTCTGAGTGTGACACGAGGTGGGGGGTCAGCTGGACCAAGCCATCCGCTGCCCCCATGGCACCCCGGGGGCCAGGGCAGCGGGGCCGGAGGAACCCCCCCAGCCAGCACCGCTCTCCCACCGCCCCCCCGTTAAGTGCCAGGGGGTTGTCAGCTGCCTCCATTTCTCAGGCGTGTTATCAGCGCCTCTGATTTAATCCCTGCTGGGCAGATCATTGCTATTAAGCAGAGTAAAGTGCGTTACCGGCTTGTATCAGCTCAGCTGTCAGCATGAACCGGCCTCCCGAAAGCGATTGTCCCTTTCTTCTTTTCATTCCCTAAAAAAAATTAAAATATTGCCAGTCATGTAGGATGCAAGATCTAACTGCAAAATCTGCTGCAGTCTCTAACGGATGAGGAGAGCTGCTTAACTGCTGCCCAACATGATAAATTCAAACGAACCACCTTGGTCAGCTGTCGGCGATGGGGAGGGAGCAGAGGGCTGGTGGCCGAGCCGCCCCGCAGGCAGGCAGAGGTGGTGGGGAGGAGACCCTCGGCTTGGAGCGGCAGCGCGGGGGGACACGAGGGGACATGAGGAGCCCCGGCTGCCAGCATGGAGCTGCCCTGGGGAGGGGAGCCCAGCCGGGACCCCTCTGTGTCCACCCGTACCCCGGGCACCGGGGATGCCCACGGTGCTCGTCCCCACCGCGTGCCACCGCCGCTCAGCTCCTCCCCGGCTCAGCAGCTGCAGATTGGAGAGAATTGATTACAGGGGTCTGAAACACTGACCTTGAACAAGGCTCCTGACACATTACTGTAATTAATGAGGCAGGAGGATTAATTTTCTGTGCTGCGGGGATCCAGGGAGTCCCTGGTGGGCATGGGGAGGGGGAAGACGGGATGAGAGGGGCAGAGAGCTGCCTGTGCTGCCTGCCATTATTCATCCCTAATCTGCAAGACACCAAAAGGGAGCCAAAGGGCTGCAGCTCCAGCATGGGAGAACCATCCTTCAGGTGGATGGGCGAGAGGGAGAGAGATTTTCCACTGGACCACATAAAATTCCCATGTCCCTAAATTTCTGGCTCAGTTGCCCAGGTGTCTGCAGCAGAGGAACCTCCCCATGTCCGACGCTGAGCCCCGTGGCAGCCCCTCATCCCCCAACGCCCCTGGAAATTCCCACTCCTTTTTGCCCAGACGCTCCAGAGTTCAGGTGCGCGGAGCATCTTCTCCCTCTGCCGTTGCTGAAAAGACATTTCCCTTCAATGCTGCCCCTCACCAAACCAGCCGGGCAGGGGGATTTTCGTGCCCTCCCTGCCCCCTCACCCCCCACCCCTGCAGTGCCAAGCAGCGCGTTTGATGCCGGCTGCCAGGGCTGCGCGGCCGACTTCTGACACTTCCCGGCAATCAGGCTGCAAGCACAGCACTATTATTTTTCTGCTCTAATAAACACCCCTGACAATAATAGAAAAAATCAGCTTTTATCGGGAGAAAGATATATCTGGAGATTATTTACTCAGAGTCAATACTGCAGGCGGAGGCTGTTAGCCCGGGCGGGCGCTGACAGCCGCTTCTGGAGGAGCAGCCGGACCATTGCATGGAAACACGGCACAACCCTCCCAACACATCTCCCGCTGTATAAATGCACCATCTCGGCTGCGCTCTGCAGGAGGACCCTCAGCGTCCCCTGTCCGTTTCACCCTGGGATGCGCTGCGAGGCGCCGGACCCCTGAAACGCTTTGGGTGCTCCGGCTGTGGGGGTGGGAGCAGCCGGGGGGCCGGAGCCCGGCTGGCATCGGCCGCCTCTCATCAGCCAAACGCTCAGGTCTGCAAGAGCAAGAAATTCACAGTCAATTGAGTTGCAGCTAATCACAAAGGGCAATTAAATGACTGCTTCTCGAGGGCTATAAACATCACCGATTTAAATCCAGTGACACACGGAAATAGGAATCCAACCAAGCAGCCTCCAAAAGCACTTTATTCCCCATTATTTTCATTAGCTGGCTTGTAATTTGATTTGTCCCTCTCCTGCTGCTGGGTTTTTCCACGGCCAAGAGGAGTGACAAATGAAACACCCTCAAACTCACAAACCCCGATGGCGTCCACACGGGTCAGGAGTGACGCAGCTCCTCCTGCTCCCGAAAAGCGGCCGAGTTTGTGCCCTGCGAGAGGAGGACGAGGGGTCGGGGTGCGTGGACCGTCCCTGCTGATGAGCCCCTGGCACCGCGGCATCCCGTGCCGGGAGGGCTGTGTGGCCGAGCCCCACGCCGGCGGAGTGAGCGGGGCCAAGAGCTCCGGGCACAGGGACAGGTCCCGAAGCGACAGACCGGGCAGGGGACGGCCCATCCCTGCGGCAGGGCAGGCCATAGCCCAGGAGCAGCGTGCCAGGGACATCACCTCCACTGCTGTTGTCACACGCCCGGGCTGGCTTGTTTTCTACGAATTCCAATTAATCTCACTGGCTTTTCTGACAAGACAGATTAAGGTCTTTCCCTTTCAACCCGCTCTGCTGTGAGTCTGCAGCGGAGGGAGTCGGAGGCGATGCCGAGCCGCTCTCCCCACAGACCCTGTTCCTCTCCCCTTGGTTTGCTTCCGTCTACCTGTTTTCCCAGGGGGACTCAGCTGAGGGTGTTGGTCCCCAGGAGTCAGCACGATGGTGTCTCCGCCACCGATCCCCGCTCCGGGCTGCTGGACGGAGCTGCCTCCCCGGGCTCGGGCAGGGCAGTTCTCCGGGGATACCCCTGCGGCGCCGGGGGGTCCCGCGGGTCCTCGTGCTGCCCCGAGTGGGGATGCTACAGGCGCCTGCAATGGTCCTGCCGCAAACTGGAGCCTGCTCAGCCCTTGGCCGACCCTGGGAACAATCCTTCCAGTAGCCACCAGCGCTCTGCCCAGGGCCACGCAGCCGGGATGGTGCTGCCGCTGCGTTTCTTTGCTCGTCAGTGGTGAGCTCGGGGCGAGGGCCCCACGGCCGTCAGCATCATCTGCCGCCGGGCACTCCTGTGCACCCTGCGCCACGCTGACGTCCTCCCCCCATTATCTGCAATTTCCTTGAAAGCTGTCAGGCTTTGCTGGGGCACCTTTGCAAATGAAGAGAGAAGAAAACAACCAGGTCTGCATTTATTCCACTAGAAATTAATCCCCCCCTTCTTATTTAAAGGTATCAGTGAATGAGGCCAAGTTGTTAAGTGACAAAAGAAAAATGATTCTTGCCTTCCAGGGTTATTAAAATCATGTTCTACAATTTTAGCAGCCACAAGGAAGCCCAGATAATGACAGATGATGATAATACATCTCCAGCACAGCCTGGTCTATAATGATACTGCCCATATCTCTTGTATTACCACCAATTACTCAGCGTATAAGTATAATGAAAATGTACATCCATTCTGGGGAACTGCATTTGCTGCCTCTGAATCCAATTTCTCCCGCTCTCAGCCGGTGAAGGAGGCGGCTGCAGCTCACTGTTGGCCAGAGCCGCCACCATGGCTGGCTCTGCTCTCGGCCCCGGGGAGCCAGCGCTGTCCCTGGCAGGGAACCGTGCCTGCCGTGGGCGCGAGGTGCCCCTCGCCCCGGCCGTGTGCCACAGCGGGGACCGGAGCGCCTGCGGCTGCACGACAGCCTGTCCGGGGGGACACAGCCAGCACAGGTAGGACAGGCGGGAGATGCTTTGAAATGCAAATTGCAGGAGGAACCTGAGAAGATACAAAGCGATGTGAATCCTCTCTCCTGCGCTGAGAAGGCAGTTAACATCTAACCCAGCTGGGGCTGGGGAGGGGGCAGCCCCCCCGAGCTCCCGATGGCTTTCTCTGCTGCCAAAATCCGCTTTGAAAGTCCCCATCTGAGTGCTGAGAGAGCATCTTCCCGCTCAGCCTGGCATCTTCCCGCTCAGCCTGGCATCATCTTCCCGCTCAGCCAGCGGCAGCCACAGGGCCCCAGCCACGAGGCAGAGCTGCCATCAAACCCCAGTGTCACCTTCAGACAGCCGGGGGTGGCAGGTCACACACACACCCCACCACCGCTGTGGCCATCTGTTGGGGAAGTGCACCCTCGAGCTTTGGCACCATCGCTCCCAGCAGGGCAGACCTGCTCCCACGCGGTGGCTGTGCGCTGGGGGGGGCTGCGTCCCACAGCAGCACCTAATCCCGTTAAAGCGTCGTGGGAATCGCTCCGCTGAAGGTGCCCATCTGATTACACGCCGGATCCACTCCTGCTGCAGCACCTGGAAGCTCAGAGAAAGCTCTCTCTGTGTAAGATTAATATAGATATATATTTCATCTGGATTCTATTATCTTTCACTTTATTCAGGTCAAAAAGCAAGAGACAACATCTTTTAAGATGAAAACAATCTTTTGGAAAATTGAAAATATAGATCATTGTTTGGGTAGAAGTATGTGCGTGTGCTCACTGCCAGTGCTCCAGCCCGGGCGCACCGCAGCTCCCGAGACCCTCAGCCCACACGTGGGGACTGCTGCGTGTGGGTCCCGGGAGTAACGGAGCATCTCGTGCTGATGGAGAGGAGCTGGTGGCAGAAAAAGCTCCTGAAAAGCTCCATGTGTGTGCACGGCCGGCTCTGGGCAGCCGTGGCAGAGCCCCGCGGGGAGCCCTGCCTGTCCCTCCGGACACCCACCCCAGTGAGCGTGGAACACACCCGCAGGAAGGAAACCGCACTGCCGTGGGTCGGGTCCCCCGTAAATGTTTTTCCTCGGACCAGAGCTCCAAAGCCAGTCAGCTCTTTAAAACAGGTCTCTGGGTAGCAGAACTTGCCTCATTATTTCTTAAATTAAATGCCTTTATTTTTTCATAACTTTGTGTAATATATATGTGTGTGTTTAATACATAATTAACAGCCCCTCCATGCTCTAAGCTACTCTATTGCAGAATGCCCGTTACCTCCTCCGAGCAGATTGCATTCCATAGCACAATTTTAAATGAGTTATTAAAGGACGTAGGTGCATCTATTAATTATCTTATAAATATTAACAAGCCCTTAATGGCTGCAATCCTGGAATAACATGCTCCCAGGGAGTTAATTTTTAAAAACGTTGTTAACTACACTGACCGCCGGGCTGGCAGAGCCGGCACCGCTGCGGCGGGGGGCTTAAAGCAGTTGAGAGCAAGGCCAGCGCTTGCCGGGGAGCACGTGCCGGGCCGGCGCTTGCAGCCACGCTCTGATCCCACAGCAAAATCCCCGCCTGCACGGAAACAGTGCGATGCCTGCCGGCTGCTCTGCGACACGCGTGGGGCTGTTTGCTGGGACCGGGCAATTACCCAACGAGCTTACCTCAACTGAAACCACCGTCTCCCAGCGTTGCCAGGGGCGAATCCTGCTGCCATCCCCCCTGTTACACAGAGGAGAGTGGGAATACGGAGTGAAGTCAATACCCTCACCTGAGTCCATGGGGAGCTCGTTGAGACTCCCCGTTAGGAGCTGCGCGTTCATGTGCCTGGGAATCAACGTGCTGCACCGTGCACGTGTTACCCGCCCAAATAAACCGCCAGAAACAGGGCACTGGCCTGCAGGGAGGGAAATAAAACGTTACTGTCTGCCTTCATCCTCTTGCAAGTCAGATTTAACCCAAGGATGGAGCTGGGATCACCTGGGACACAGGCAATGCTTTGGGTGGGTTACACCTCCCATAAAGCACAACACAAGAACCGGGCTCGCTTGCTCCCTCCCCCAGGCAGGACAACACCTTTTGGGCAGCCCAACACAAGGGCAGCCCCTTCTTGGCTCCTTAAATCACCCTG